TTAGCGTTTCGGCGACATATCTTTTAGTGTTTTTCACCTTTGCGTAGACATTTGATCGTATAACAGGGTCTTTTAGACAATGTTATAAATGATTTTATTCAAAAAGAAAAGGAACTGCGTATATAAAGAGGTTTTTTAGAAGCAGAAATTGTTTGCAATATACTATTCTGCTTACACATGAAGTGATCTTTGTTATTCAGACTTTTTCGCTGCAAATAGGTAAAAGGAAAGAATAAAAAAATAATTTCTTTTATTGACAAATCCTATAAAAATGCTAGTAGTAACTAAATGATAAAGGCGTTAGAATTTGAGTATGACAAATATCATTTGACGACAATTATTTATTACCCTTTTTCAAATTTTCATTTTCTATTGACTTTCCGATAAATGAATCTTCACCTCAAAAGATAAAGTCAGAACGGTTGTATGTTAAAGCAATATTTAATTTTTCTATTAGAGATTCACTTCGCAGTTCTAGTGATGTAAGAAGGGAAATTAAGTAATACTCTACTGTATCCGTATCACTCAACTAAGTACATAAATTCTTTCATTGAATAAGAAGAAAAAATGAACAAGACATTATACCTGTTCGTCCCGTTCATCTGTGGTATGTTATCTCGTTTCTAGTTTAGGTTTTTGTAGGGAGAATATGCCGCTAGATCAAAAATGTCATCTCTATCTCAATCTTTCATATCTTGTCTCACATATTAATCATTTAGGATGCCATTGGACGCAGCCTAATCGATAAGTCAAGCTTTAAAAATATATAAGTCGGTAGGAATGCGGTAATGAACGTCTGAGATTTTGACTATGAATATTTTGCAGAGATGGGTGAGTATGCAGATTCTCGAGCACCAGTACGCGTATTTTCTAAAAGACATGCTCATGAAAAAAGTTTAGCAGACTAACAATAGTCATTTTCAATATCTTTCAGATTATCAGTTGAAGGAGAGTTTGGTTCTAGTCTTAGTTTTTTTATTTTACTCTTTATTATTGACAACAAATTAAATGTTCAGTATTCTTTTGTAAACGCTCAGTATTATATACAAATTATCAATAAACAAATCAAACTGTCAGTATACAATTTAATGTTCAGTAACTATTATGTTTTTGCTCACTTAAGTAATTGTCTGCTCAGTAAATTAATAATTTGGTTAATGTTAAAATTAAAGTATCAGTAACTAATTTAGTTTGCTCGTGTAAACATTTATTTGCACATTAAATGAATAGTACTTGTATCAGTAACTGAATCATTTTTATCTTTTCGATGAAAATATTTTGGTGTAAACAGAAGAATGCTTGTTCACATCAACTATGATGACATCATCAGTCCAAAAGAATTTCGTATAATATACAACTCAGAACTCGCGGTAAAAAAGCGCGAATTTTACTCACTCAAAATAAAAGTAAGAGCGGTTGCCGTTTTACGGTTCGCTGATGAATATTATCCATAAGGTAACGTTTGCCGTATGTGAAGAAAACATTCACGTTTGGACTGTCAGAGAATGTATACCCGTAGATATTATCGCTAAGATCAGTTCGTTATTAGAGGCAATCTAATATTCTGTGAATGAGACGGAATGGCTGAGCCCCAATCCTCCGTGCGTCAAGCAGAACCGAACTGATCGTCGTTACATCCTGACAGCCGCTAACAACAAAGCGATCTTACACCGAGGATATTCACAACTGTTATAAAAACATCAACCTTTGATGCATTTCTCACTTCTACGCGTTTTTATTTTGAGATATTGCACAGTAGACATCGATTGAGAGAACAACAAAGAACAACACAAGAAAAAAAAGCTCTTAGATATAGTGCATTTTTTGAGAAAAAAGACTTTTAACCTACACAAAATACACGTGGGATATACACGTGTATCCCACGTGTATTTTGTACACACATAAACGAAACTAAAAACATCGAACGCTAAATATCTTCTTCTGTTTTTTTTAACTCAGACAGAAATGTTTTTTAGAGATGCATGTGCTTCTGGTATGTAATCTACCTTACCACACTTTTATAAGATTTTTCGTCAAACGAAGAAACATGCATACTTTGGATGAATGCATATAAATGTTTTATCTGAATCGCGAACGTGACGCGATCCAAGCCACGAACACGATACGATCTGATCTGATGTAACTGGCGACCGCGACATAATCTAAACGCGGCGCGGAAGAATTTTCGCTGCACGATCGGGACGTGCAAAGTTCGCTGCCGCGGCATGATCGCGGCAAGAATAAAGCGCGAATGTAACAAGGGGTGGCGGCCAAAATTGAGCGTCCACCTTTATTTTTAATTTTCTCCTCGACTATAATAGCTAGCACAAATGTGAAAAAAGGTACTAAACTCTGAAAGCTTTTTCATAATTATAAACCCTCGAAAATGACCTGCTGTAAAAATCGTTATTAGCTTAGGATTTATAACATTTGTAAAAACATTTGTCTGCTACAAAACTCATAAGGTTATGTCCTAACCTCTCTCTTAACCCTTAGAAATTTTCGCTAAACCTTATAGGTTTTAATGATTACAAACTCTCAGCCCAAGTCGACGCTCGCGTCTAACTCGCGGCGCGATCGCGTTGTCGCTATAGCGATCGCTGTGAACTCGCAATGTCGCGGCGCGATCGCTATCAATTCACAGTGTCGCGGCGCGAAAAAACGGCTATTGGGAGCAAGTTTATACAAATCGCGACTTTCTCGCGAGTCGAGGAAGGGTCGCGCTGCGACACTAGAACTCGCACCGCGAGAATGGAAAATCGCGATTGATTAGCTAATAAAAAACGCGAGTCGCGTAGCGATTATAGCAAATGTATGGAAAAACTCGCGTTTCGTCGCGACTTTATAGCGATCGCGAAATTAGCGAGAAATTTCGCGAGTCTATAAGCGATCGCGTTACGCGTTCGCGCCGCGACTTTATCGCGATAGTCGACATGGGAGGGCTTATAACGATTTTTACAGCAGGTCGTTTTCCAGGGTTTATAATTATGAAAAAGCTTTCAGAGTTTAATAAAAAGTGCTAAAGGTTTAGAAGAAAACCCTTGGTAGATGAAAAACACTTTGACGTATAACAAAAATTTTTTTTCTAGTAAACCCATCGTGAAAAACCATTGAGCGTATATTAAGCGTAGTAAACCTTGTTAAAAAACCTTTACGTTTAAGATCGAAGATAAACCTTTCGAAAAATCTTTGAAGGCTTTTTAAAGGGTTCAGTTCGCTTACTAAACCGTTTAAGGTTTAGTAAACGACGCTTAGTTTTTAGAGTGTAGAAAGATACTGTGTGCTGTTAATTTTCATCGTAATTATTTGATAGACCTAAATATGAAAAATACGGTGATAAAACGTATAAAATTATACTTAAAAATCAAGGACGAACTGAGAGTAAAATATATGTACAAACTTAGTCGGGACGAATTGAGACAAAAAACTATGAAACTAATTGAGAGAGACTAATTTAGGATGAACTGAGAGGACACCGTATTTAAAGAGCGCACAGTATAGACAAGAGAGTGGAGACTATATATATATCACATTGTATAAATATTGAGAGAATATAAGAGACGATGAGAGTTGAACAAAGAGGAGAAAATGCAAGGGGAAAAAATGTTACTTCAAGTGTGTGCACTTATGACTGAAGTGTCTGGACGTCACCAAACTCTCTACGGCGTTTTTCATCAAACTGCATTCAATTTACGAAAGGCCCGTCGGTCGTTTTCATTGTTATTTTAGCTGATTTTGACGTGGAGGCACCTTTCGTAAACTGAATGCAGTTTGATGAAAAAATGTCGTGAAGAGTTCGGCAACGTCTAGTCTTCCTTGTTGTTGTACTACCGAACAAGGCGCATTAGTGTCTCGAAACATTGAATAAAATAAAAATTACGAAGAAATTATTTAAATTAATATTATTACTAGTTCTTCCAAAACCGATAAAACTTATTGTGTCTTTTCTTTTGTATATCTTACAAGATCATAGATCTTTTGTAAGTCTGGTGTCACACCAGAAGATTTTTTAAGGTATTCATATGTCGATTTTAGTCTAGGCATATCGAACTTTTGTTAATCTATTGTTTTGGTGATCAAACCGAAGACTTACTCTAGTGTACTTAGCGTTATTCCTTCTTCAGAGGACATTCATTTTTAAATTGACTGAAGTAATGTTGAGTTACGAAGAATACGTGTAGTTTTTAAACGATATTTACAGCCGTAGGTAAGAAAATAACTTAACATGTATATATAGAAAATTTTAGATTCTATTGTAAGAATTAATTATTTATGCACAGGCTGCTATTGATGAAAAAGAAAAATAATTTGCTATAAAGCGAAATTTATAGCAATTTTTTGTTCTGAATGAATAATAAGTGTTGTTGATATTATGTTCTATAAAAGAATGAGAAGAGGCTTACATATAAAAAAAAGCTAGTAATTATACTAATAATAATAATTATTTAAATCGTTAAATGTCCCACAATTTCGAACAAATTGTGTCAGAAATTGTGTCAGATATTATTATGGGTGTAGAAATTATAAAGTTTATCCACCTGCTATGAGCGACTGTGCACTGAACTAAATTTATTGTCCATTTCGGAACATAGTGAAGCATGTGTTCAGTTATTTAATGGCTGACGGTCAAGGCTGAAGGTCATATCATCATCATATGTGATTTATTCCGTGTTGTATATAGTGTGTATCCTATTCTTTTCTGTTTGTAATTACATCACATTTCATTGTATGTCTTGTTAGTGTTCGACTTGGTCGTTTATTTCAAAAAACAAATACTTATAGACGTTTGAATCTTGACATCTACTGGAACCTTTGATGATTCAGTGTAGAAACTATCGAACCTTAAAAAGTACTGCATCTCTGATAGAATCTTAAAAGGTTCTATCGGGCACCTGCTGTGGCAAGAATTTCCAGTTCTCGTTGTTGGTAAAACTGATCTTGATCGACACTTTCATTCATTTGGTATGACTGTTTGTTCTAATGAGCAAACATAGGATTGCATGTTTGTGTTTCGTAATCTACAAGAAGGTATACAAAAGTTCAATTTAGAAAAAATAAATCCCGATGTTTTAATTGCTAATGGTGCTGATTCAATACGTAATGCGTTTCAAGATGTTTTGGGAGAAACGTCAACAGTTATGTGTTGGGGGCATATGCGTAGAAATGTAGTGAAAAAGATAGAGTCAATGGTAGACAAGTCGGAACAAGAAGATTTGGTGAACGATATCGAAACATTACAAGTAGCACAAAGTGAATGAATATTAAGCTTCCAATTTGTTTATTAAAAAATTGACAAAAAGACAGCCAAATTTCGTACAATATTTCCAGAGCGAGTGGCTAACTTCACACAGTGCATGGTGTGAAAGTGTTCGACATTTCACACCAAGCACAAATAATGTTTTGGACGCAATACACAAAGTTAGATGAAAATACATTGCGAGAACGCCTACCATTATCGATATTTAAAGTATTAGCATTTGAAATTGTTAAAAAATGATCAAAATCGTATGAAAGAGGTTTTAAGCAGTACAGTAATAAGCTAACAATTTCGCCGGATTTATGGGCAAATGGATATCAATGAGTTAAATCAAACAAATCAATATCTTCGACCGAGTTTGGCAATTTAATTGAATATTATATACCTCCTGGAGACGAAACTAAAATTACAAACTTCGAAATTGCTGTCGTGAAGAAAATGAAACGGAATACTTTTGATCAGTATAAAAAAAAACATTCAATATTTGGTCCGTTACATTACCAGTAGATAAATTGAAATGGCTAGCTGGTGTGTGCAATTGTCCAACATTTTTCAAAAAATTTATATGTAAATATGTCGTTGAGATCGCAATTAGATTAAACTACTGCAAACCGCCACCTGTTGCTAAAGATGTTAAAATTGGTGAAAAAAGACGTCGTGGTAGATCATCAAAATCTAAAAAAGCATTACCGATGCAATAAACTTCTTGATAATTGTAATTATACTATTTTTACTGATGTAAGTTAATAAATAACGTGAATCACATCGATTCACTAAGTCCATTGCCTGTAAGTCGAATGAATGCACTGTCGGTATTATTATTCATTCTGTTGTAACTCGATCTTGTTACTACAAAATTGATGCATATTTTTTGCGATGAGAACGTCCATATTTTCCACCTTAGTTTACAGAAGCAGTTGCTTTGGCTTTTCACCGGTCAGAAAAATTTACCAGAGTGAGTATCTGTTTCGAAGCCAAATATGGAATAGAAGTCAAGTCTATCAAGTCAGCATCAGTTCACGAGTTATGTGACTCTTAAAAGTTTGAAAGCGTCATAGCGTTATTTACTCAATTTGTGTAATTCATCGAGTCTCTGTAATTTGATTTGGTTTTATCTGACCCCAAAGCATCCCAGAGGTCTAACAATATTTCGAAATTCCAGACAATGCTCATGCGTCCCTTCGGTTCGCGCTCGCAGCCAGGATAGGTGTTACATGTCTCTGATCCCACAGAAAACCCGAACGCATCTACCCATGTGGATCTTTGTCCGTAATAGTCATTAGTGATTCTGTGTATGTACGTCCGTCACACCGCCACATGACTATATGTATGTACGTCCGTCACACCGCCACATGACTATATGTATGTACGTCCGTCACACCGCCACATGACTATATGTATGTACGTCCGTCACACCTCTGTACGGACAAACACACACACACAAACACTTTATTTTATATGACTATAGACTTACAGTCAATAGAATAAATTAAATACCGAGTCTTTTTTAATTAATTACTGAGCTTTTCAGATTATTTACTATGCTAAAACTAATGTTTTACTGAGCAAAAAATACTGAGCGTGTAATAAAAAACATACTGAGCAATTAAATACAAGTCTTTAGTATTAATTTGTTTTACTTAGTCTGAACACACAAGAATGAAACATTATCCTAGAAGATCATTATTACATTTTAAAAATGTTAATATGCATAACGTTGACGCTGATAACTTTGAACGATGTGGGCGGATGATAAAGCCGCTTTGAAAAAACATTCGCTCTGTTAGTGCGGATATTGCAGGGACAGTAAAATGTTTTAGAGCTAATTTTGATAGATGAGGATATGATTGATGTTTCGTTAAATAAGACCAAATAAACTTCTTCTGTATGCTTTTCAACAAAAAAAGATACAGGTCACTTTTTTCTTTTGTCAGTTATTTTCTTCTGTAGTGAAAGCTAAGTTTCTGTTTCTCTAATATCTTCTTTTATAGTTCACATGCGTCTTCTTATCTGACGGTCTCTTTTACTGACCAAGAGCAAGATAGACAGAAAGAAAGGAAAAGAGACATCAGAACACACAAAAACCTAGCATATAACTGAGAGTAAGAGAGAAAAAGAACACAAAGTAGTTTTTCTGTGACTACAATTATTCATTTGCAAGGCAAAAAATTTTTTTGTAAGCATAAGAATAGAAAAATTTCAAGTACTCGAACCACAGTGGGCATCCAAGAGGACATTAAGCGAAAAAGTCGATTCTCTTATTTACCAAATATAAATACTGCAAAAAATAGCCCTTCCAATTCTCTATCGAATGGTGTATAAATGTCTATTTTGATGTCCACTCCTTCAAGACGAAAAAAGG